TAGGAACTCATGCAACAGGGTGAGACCAACCTAAAGTCTTAATCTCACTTATGTCCTTTAGATGTCCTAGATTTAGCAACTTAAAACAAATTCCACCAACCGTAAAGGTCCATCTTAGAAAGCCAGGTGGCTTCATCAAGTTTTTGTATTAACCATATTAACATTTTTTTACCTTGTCTGAGGCATCAGTTCGGCATGACACAACTCTGGCTGCTATACTCAAAGTGACCTGAATGCTATACTCAAAAGTGACCTGAATGCTTTTCAGGCCTGAGATAGTGTGACATAGGATACACATGAGAAGTATGATCCCAGAGCAAAGTACCCCAGGAAACAAAGGGTTTATAGTTGTTATAAATGTCCCAAGCAGGACATACATTGGTCAGACAGTACAGGTTAAAAGGGCCCCCAATGAGGCGTCCCACCATGGGGTTTCCTGCCCAAGTATTTCCAACGCTTGATTTCAGAAGGACTGCCTAAGGCAGACAGTTCCAGACATTTGCTTGTCCATAACATCAGTTCATTCACCTCACAAGCATGTTGTTGTGTTGTTGTTAGGTGCTGTTGAGTCGGTTTCGACTCATAGCGACCCTATGTACACCAGATCAAAACACTGCCCAGTCCTGTGCCATCCTCACAATCACTGCCTTGCTTGAACCCATTGTTGCAGCCAGTGTGTTGATCCATCTCATTGAGGGTCACTGACCCTCTACTTTACCAAGCATGATGTCCTTCTCCAAGGACTGATCCCTGCTGATAACATGTCCAAAATATGTGAGACGTAGTCTCGCCATCCTTGCTTCTAAGGAGCATTCTGATTGTACTTCTTCTAAGACAGATTTGTTTGTTCTTTTGGCAGTCTGTGGTATATTCATTGTTCTTCTCCAGCACCACAATTCAGAGGTGTCAGTTCTTCTTCGGTCTTACCTTATTCATTGTCCAGCTTTCACATGCATATGAGGGAATTGAAAACATAAGCACGGACATCTTGAAATGTTCTATGTGGCAAGTACAGGAGCTGGGGCCACCTTCTGCTGTCTCATAGTACTGTCAGGTATGACCATAGACTCAGCAGTCAGTTTGAATTTAACTACTCATACCAAAAATCAAACCCATTGCCATCAAGTTGATTCTGACTCATAGCGACCCTCTAGGACAGAGTAGAACTGCCCCATATGGTTTCTAAGGAGCGGCTAGTAGATTTGAACTGCGGACCTTTTGGTTAGCAGCCATGCTCGTAACCACTGTGCCACCAGGACTTATAGCTACTAGGAAAGGCAGCATAGGGAGTTTTCCTTAAGGAAGAGGGGAAAGTATCCAAGAACAGTTCTGAAAAACAAAGATCATTAATGCCCTTTCCCATGCTCTCCAGTTGCTGGGTTTTTGTTTTGTCTTTGTTGTTAGAAAATCAGTGTGTCCCATTTAGCAGTCATAACTTTACATATTTTTCAAATATTCCCTACACTCATGAAGACCTTTCATCTGGAAAGGTTGAGTACAAGAGGGACAAAAACATTTTCACAGAAAAGCATTTTAAAATAATTTTACCAGAAAGACACATCATATTCAGGAATTGATCAGGATGAAATCCTGAATTTTCAAAAAATTTCAAAATGGGTTTATATACACCCTCTTCATTCCCATCAGTTATCTAGTGAGCAGCCTAGAATAGATCCCTTTATGGAGATAGCTTCATTTAATAATCAAACTGCCTTACTAAAATGGGTGTACCAACAGAAAGGTGAGGGAAGAAGAGTCAAGCTGTCAGTTCATATTGTCACAAATTGTGACTAATCTGGAAACCCAAACACCAGTCAGTCGCAGTGAGATGTCCCCTAGAGGGGGTCCAGAGTCAGATCTGTCAGGGGTGGGTACAGGGATCACACTTCTTTAACATTCCCTCCCCAGCTTTTACCTCTTGGCAGGAATCGCAAGTTAGGAATGCAGTTAGCCTCTGCATCAGGAACATAGAATCCATCAGCAGGCCAATTTCAAATGGTCCCATTGGAGAATAAGCCCTTTCCTGTGGGCATCTGCAAGTGATCCAGACAGTCCAGCCATCATCCATGATATTTTCAAAAACAAACAAAAAACCCATTGCCATCAAGTCAATTCTGGCTCATAGCGACCCTATAGGACAGAGTAGAACTGCTCCATAGGGTTTCCAAGGAGCAGCTGGTGGATTCAAACTGCCAACCCTTTGGTTAGCAGCTGAGCTCTTAACCACTGTGCCACCAAGGCTTCTAGGGCCCCAGAGAGGGTTGTAAATCTGCAGCAGTTCCAGAGTCTGAGTTCTGTTCATTGAACCCATTACTTGCTTTCATTTCAGCACAGCTTGTACTGAGGCTGAAACAGCCCATATCCCACAGTATCAGTTTTTAGCTTCGAGTCAGGCGCAGGCACTTAGGATCTATGACTTCAGGATTCAGAAAAATCCAGCAGCTCTTCTGTAGCAGCAAAACTGAGACACTGCATTGCCAGACAACTGTGTTCCAAGTCCAAGTGACAAGCTCTTTTTGTCTTAAGAGTCCAAATTGACCCATTCACAAATACGCACATCGAGCTGGAACATCTTCAGACTCTAAGGGTCAGATACCTGATTTCATAAGAGCTCATTAGCAACTAAAAACTGCTTTCCGTCTAGAGATTGTCTCTTTTTATGTTGTCTCCCTGTTTCTAGAGGCTCCAATAGACAAAGATCATCAGTTAATGCAGACTTACCGGTACTCTATTTCTAATATTCAAAGAATTTAAATTTAAATTTATATTTGCTCACTAGTGGCAAAAAGCAAAGGAGTTGTGTCCTATTAACATTTTTTTTCTTTGCTGCTTTTCCTGATCGGGATATCCTTCTAGCATATATGGAATGACAAGCATATAACGTTTTATATCAATTTTATCATACATTCAGATGTAATAGCCACCAAAATAGCCATTTTGTAAAAATTTCTTTTTTTCCTCATTGCAAATTTATTTAAATTCCTAGATTAAATTTAGCATTTTCATGGTTAACATTATAGCTGCAGCAGTCAGGTGTGGGGAATATTCTGGCTGGAATGCAAGGGGGCAGGGGTAGCAGCAGTAGCAACAGCTAGGCTGAAGAAACTGCTGGAGTGTCTCCCCTGCCCCCTTTTCCCCTGTGGTTTATCTAAAGCTTTGTTCTATCCCTGGGAGCTGATTAACCTTTTTTTCCCCTTTTTTCTTTCACTTGGAGGAGAGAGAAATGTCAATGTTTAACATTTTTGGCCCACTAAAGCTCACCTTTGGGGATGTTTGGGCCCTTTCTCCTGTCACCTAGAGGAGAGAGAATAAAAACCAGAGTCATTGCCTAGCCTGTGCTTTTATTTTCCTCGTCACTTTAGCCAGTACAGCCAAAAGCATCCAGGGGATCCAGCAAGCCAACTCTCCTGGGGTTGGATGTATCCTTTTCAAATTTCATAGGTAACTTTTGCCTCTCATAACAGACTATGTCTGAGCTGCTGTTTCATAACATGTGTAACACCGCAGGAACTTGGTCACCAAAGGTTCGTCATACCCCACCCCTTCTCATTTGTTTTCCCAAACGATACTTTTGCCATATTTTAAAATGTGAGTCAAAGTTGGTCTCGCAGATCTCACTTATGACACCACTGTGTTGGGGCAGGGTCCTCAAGACCATCCCCGGGTTTGATGATTCACTGGAAGGATTCACGGGACTCAGCATATAGTCATACTTACAGCTAAGATTTATTACAGCAAAAGGATACAAGCAAAGAACAGCAAAGAGAAAAGGCTAATGGGGTGAAGTCCAGGAAACCAGGTGCATGATATCAACAGTCCTGTCCTCAGAGTCACACAGGATGTGCCTAATTCCTCCAGCATCGAATCATGACACCACATGAAATGTTGTCTCCCAAGGAAGCTCATTAGAGACTGCCCAAAGTTTTTATTGAGGGTTGGTCTTGTAGGCATCCTTGCTTAGCATGTACCAAAATTCCAGACTCCCAGAAAAAAAACAGGTGTTTAGCATAAACTACATTGTGTGTGCAAACAGTTTAGGCACAGTGAGCTCTTCTTATCAGGTAGGGAATGGAGGGAACCCTCCCAAACTCCAAGTTCCCGGACACTAACCAAGGGCCAACCTTGTAAGCAGGACTTTTTTAGTCTCAGACCTACTACGCTCACACTTTTCTGCATAATAGGGTAAAACATCCTCAGACAAAGGGGGTTGAAATGGTAATATAAACTTGGTTTAACTTGATAAATCCTTTTGGGTTTGATTCAGCAGGACAATGAATAAGAAACAGAGCTTCTAGAAGCTAAATAGTCGTATACCCTTATATATTTGTGGATTTCTCCCCATAACAATAATAATTTTAAATGAATACCTCACAATGGAAAACAGCAAAGCCAGAAAGACTCACTGATTTGAAAACGGGTGGAGCAGAGTCATTTAAACAATGTTGTATTACAGCAATTTTGTATTTGTTCTTTGTAGTTAGTTTGAGAAAGAGAATTGTTCTCATATATTTTTGAAGACTTGTACTAAATTTAAATGTACGTAATTATAAGAGATATGCCAGGGAGCATTTCTTTTCCCTGTAGTGTAAGCACAAAATCCCCAATTACAATTTACTTTTTAAAAAATTTCAAGCATTTAATATTGCTTACAAACAGTAAACATTAATGATACACTTCTTTTTAAATTGAGATAAAATTCACATAATATAAAATTAACTATTAACCATTTTAAAGTGTACAATTGAGTGGCGTTTAGTACATTCACAATGTTGTGCATCCTCTATCTACTTACAAGACATTTTCGTCACCATAAAAGAAACCCTGTACCCATTGGCAGTCACTCTCCATTCTCTCTCTCCACCTTGACTCTCCTCACCCCCAGATCCTGGCAACCACTAATCTGCTTTCTGTCTCTATGACTTTACCTATTCTTAAATATTTCATATAAATGAAATAATGTTTGTTGTTGTTAGGTGCCCTCAAGTCAATTCCGACTCATTTGTCTCTGACTTCTACTTAGCATAATGTTTCAAGGTTCATCCACAATGTAGCATATAATTCACTTTTAAGACAGTAGTTTGCTACAAATTTATAAACTTTCATACATAATATGTAATTTTTATCTTTTTTCTTCAAAATTGAATTTATGGTTGATTAAGCCTAGGAAGCCTCAATTTGCTAAAGGTTTCCCTTTTTAGGACATAAATAATTTTTATCTTTTTCTCAGTTGTATCAATCTTGAGACCTTGGCCTTCTAATACCAATATAAACAGTTCCAATTTAACATTTTCACTTGTGCTAATGAAATAAGGACAATACAATATTTAATAATTATGAAGGCAAACTGCTGAATAGCCAGAGATACCAAATTTACTGAAATTAAACTATTCACTGATAGCGCCATAGCACTGGAGCCTGAAATGTTCATTTTCAGCCACTGTATGAAATTCTGAATTCAAAGTACGGAAAGTAGTTTTGAAGGGAGACTTAAAGAATAATGCGTAACATTCTGAGTCCTTGGAAAGCCAAAAGTATGAAAGCTGACTACTGCCTAAGAAAAATTTCAGCTATCTGAGAATTCTACTTATGTGAAGAGTTCAATTTCTGTAATGATTACAGGTAATTATGTTTTAATAGGAAATAGAAAAGTGCTGTTTCATACAGTAGTTGTATCCCAAGTTTCGATTGTTTTCCAGTTGTAGACCTCATGCTGGCTATTTTCAGTGTTCATTTGCCAGTTTGGCAAAAAGAAACAGTCAGCTGCTGCCTTTTGCAGCTATTTTCATTTCTTTCTTTCTAAATGCAGCATCCTTTTCCACACTGTGAAAGCTATGTAGTTATAAAAAGTATCCAAGAGGAGCCAGAATATGTTAGATTATCTCCTTTTCCTTGGTTACTGAGAAACTTCAGGCAGCTAAACTGCTACGTAGATTTTTTTTTTTTAAATTACTACTGTGATAATACTTTTGTGTTTATATAGCCATTTTATTTTGAATGCTGCCATATTAAGATATTGGAATAATAGCAAAGTGAATTTGTATTCTGGAATGCATATTATTGGGAAGGTACTTTCTTTGTTAAGATTTTTCTCAGTTCAAGTCAGAAAATTGTCAAATACCATGAGTTTTCCTGTAGACTGTGGATGTTCGTGAACTTCCAGAAAGCCACCAAGAGTAAAGCCATACTTGACTTCAGCGTAATGTGCAATCTGGCAAGTTAAACCCCAACCAAATCTCTTGAGCCGTACTTCATTTTTAGCAACATTTTAGACTAAGACCTCTTTGCTTCTCCCCCTAAACACACATGTAATGTTTATTTAGGTGTTTTTTGTTTTGTTTTTGCATATACTCACAGTGTATGGGAGTGCTTCCTAGCTTGGCACGCATCAAGTCTATGTCCCTTTGTAAGTGTAGTTACATAGGAGAGATCTTTGTTAATATTGACAGTGAGCTAGGAAAATAACGAAGATAGATACAAGCTTTTTCTAGAATATAGTTGAAAAAGTACATAGTTCTTTAATTTGCCAAAGGTCAGACACCTAATAAATGATAAAGAAAATCTAGCTATGGAAAAATAACTACCAATTATTTGTTATTCTTGATACAGAACATAGAGTTGGTGACATTTTCCTCAAGGTTTCACTGTTTGTTTGTTTTACAGAGAATGAGTATCAAGTTATTTGAAGGCTCAACTGATGCTTTACCAGTTGCTTGCAGATCCTGATAGAGGAAGGGAGCTAAAATTAATTGAATATCTATTATATGCCAAGCACTGTATTTGGTACTTTACCTATGTAATAGTGACAATTCTTCAAGGTAGGCGGCCTTATCCCCATTTTACAGGTGAGGAAATTGAAGGATAGAAAAGTTAAGTAACCTGTGATAGAACTAGGAAGTAGTAGACTGAGACTTCAACCCAAGTTGTTCCGCTATGCTGTGCTCCTTCCACCAAACTTCGGGTTGGCAAACTATGGCCCATGGGCCAAATCCAAACTCCCACCTGTTTTAGTAAATAGTGTCTTATTAGACACAGCCACACCCGTTCTCTTATGTATTGCCTATGGCTTTCAAGCTACAACAGCAGAGCTGAGTAGTTGCAACAGAGACAAAGCCTAAAATATTTCCTATCCGTCCCATGACAGAAAATGTTTGCTGACCCTTGCACTATACCACGCATTGCTTAGAGGTGCAATGAATTGAGTGCTCATTCAGTAATATAAATTTCAATCTTACCGAAACATTAGACTTGGAAGAGAACCAATAAAGTAGATTCCCCATAATCTAATGAGGAAGGCAAAATATTGACTAACAACAAGCCGTGAATATTCAGAAGCGTTCAGTATTTGGAAGCGTAGGCTGGGATAATTTAAATGTAGTTCTTTCTATTCCTATGATTTTATGCATTATAATTTATTTCAAAAATCAGTACTTAAAAGCATTTCATTTTTCTTGTGAAGGTAAGTCTAAATTGCTTTCGTTAGGCTTTTTTTTTTTTTAAGTGAGTAAAGTTAAAGCTTCAGTAATGTATTTATGACATTTAAAGTATACCAGCAGTTGTTTTAATTAATGTTTATACTGAAAAAACATTTGTTTATTTGTAACTAAATATAGTATAGCTAAAATTCTAAAAAAGTGTTAAAAGACTGCTATCAAGGGATGTATGTTGCGGGGGCGGGAGGGGGCAGGTGCGTAGGCACCAGCTGTACAGTGAGTAACCTTACAGGAGGATATGAGATTCGTCAGCAGACTATCGCCAGTTTGCCATCACATTTCTAAAGGCTTTCTTTATCAGTTGGTAGATCAAATTCAGCCTTTTTATCTCAAGTCGTTTTCCTGAGTGAACTATACCAATTTCATTTTGCTGTAGTACTTCTCCTAGTAAGGTTTTTGGTGGTGGTGGTGTTAGTCCCTAAAATCTACATGGACTACGTGGACTTTTTAAAACAGCAATCCTCCAATCTTCAACTCCCCAATTTTTGAAAGAATAAGAGGGGAGAGGGGAAAGCATTAAGTAATTTTAACTTTTAAGAATTTATATATTCTTAGCATTTGGAGGTGGGGAGGCAAACTGTATCTCATTAAATACCCCATGATACTCTAATACCATGATACTCTGTGATGTGTGAAAGAATACCAAATACACTTGATACAGGCTTTTAGTGACCACTTTATGGTCAATGTCAGGATAGGCTTTTGGAGTATCTAGTGTATATTTGGAGTCCCTGGATGGTGCAAATGGTTAACACACTCGGCTGCAAAGTGAAAGGTTGGAGGTTTGAGTCTACCCAGAGATACCTTGAAAGAAAGGCCTGGGGATCTACTTCCAAAAATTCAGCCATTGAAAACCTTATGGAGCACAGTTCTACTCTGACAAACGGGATCACCATGAGTCGGAAGCGATTTGACGGCAACTGATTTTAGCATATACTCAGTGAGGAAGGCAGTTATTTACTTAAAACAAGCCATGAATGTTCAGAAGTCTTTGTTGTTGGGAGTTATTGCTTAAGGGTACTGAGTTTCTGTTTGGGGTGATAAAAAATTTTATAGTGGTGAATGTAATTAATGTCACTCAATTGTATACTTGAAAATGGTTAAATGGAAAATGTTATATGTATTTTACCATAATACATTTTTTTAAAAAAAGCTTTTACTAGAACAGGATACAAGGAAAAGATTAGTCCGAAGGACTAATGGTCCACAGCTACCAAGGCCTCCACCAGACTGAGTCCAGTACAGCTAGGTGGTGCCCGGCTACCACCACTGACTACTCTGACCAGGATCACAACAGAGGGTTCTGGACAGAGCTGGAGAAGGATGTAGAACATAATTCTAACTCACAAAAAAAAGACCAGATTTACTGGCCTAAAGAGTCTGGAGAAACCCTGAGAGTATGGCTCCCAGATACCCTGTTAGCTCAGTGGTGAAGTTATCTCCGAGGTTCACCGTTCAGCCTGGGAGTGGACAGCCCCGTAAAACCAAATGGGACTAATGAGGTACAGGAGTCCAGTGACAAGGGCCAGAAGGCAGAAGGGGACAAGGAAGCTGGTGATAGGGAACCCAAAGTTGAGTAAGGTTATTGTTGATGTGTTGTAAGATTGTTAACCATTGTCATGGTGCAACATGTGTAATAACTGTTAAATGAGAAACTGTTTTGTTCTGTAAGCCTTCATCTTAAGTGTGAATAGCAGCACAATTGGAAGAGCGTAGTCAATGTTACTGAACTGTGCATGTAAAAATTTTTGAAATGGTGTATCTTTGGCTATGTGTATTTTCACCAAAAAAAAAAAAAAAATTGAGAAGTTAGAGGGTTGACATGTTGTGGGGCTGTTAACCAATGTCATAAAACAATATGTGTACTATTGTTTCATGAGAAACTATTTGTTCTGTAAGCCTTCACCTGAAGTACAATTAAAAAAAAAAAAAGCTTTTACTTTTAAGTCTAGGGGTATAGGCTGGGAAGATTTAAATGCAGTATTTCCTATGGTTTTTATGAATTATAAATAAAAATTGAGTACTGTAAACATTTCATTTTTCAAATAAAGGAAAGTATAATATACATCTTATCCTGGTGGACTTTATAGTCTTAAGAAGAAGTTATGTTTTAATGATTACTCATATGAGCTGTAAAACTGTATATATATTATCAAATTTAATCTTTTTCACAGTGTCGCTCTGAAATGATAAAATAAGAACACTGGGGTTGTTATTAAAAGACTTGTGAAGATTCTAACCTAAGTCTGTTTAACTTAAAAGCTCTTTCAACTCACTACACTCCATAGCATTACTCTGTTAGAGTAAATGGGATATACACATATCACCAAATTACAATGGACAAGTTCAAAGTAGCCAGAATAATAAATGTGCTATCATTTCAGAGGTGTGAAAGATCATTAAGGACTGTGATGATCTGAAATTGAGAAAGCTAAAGCTGAAGTGAAACTCATTGATAGGAATCCAAGGGTCCATTCCTACCTAGCTATTCAACCTTACCTCTGCTTATTCCTTTATGCAAATCCCAGGCAAGCTTGTCATTCTTAAAATGTGTTTTTATGGTACAGCTTATACACTTCCCGAGAATTTGACTTTACCCTGTCATCTGTAGGAAGCCACTGAAGGAAGATTTTACAGAAGGTGACTCCTAATGACTACCACTACCCCTTCACCAACAGACTTACAGAATCAAACCTAGAACCCTTGTATCACTCAAGCTGACTAGGCACTAGGAGAGATTTAGACATGCCTGTTTCCTTATTCACTTCTAAATGAGATGTTTTGACAGACAAGAAAAAGAAACAACATAAAGATTTAAAAGGAAGAAATAAAACTGCCTGTATTCACAGATAATGTGGTTGTCTACCTTAGATCACATAAAATCTACAAAAAACTCTTAGAATTAATAAGTGAATTTAGCAAAGTCACAGGATACAAGGTCACTATACAAAGATCAGTTGTATTTCTATATACTAAATTCTATATACTAAATTGGAACTGGAATGTTTTTTAAGTACCTTTATATTAACACCTCAAGAAAAGATATACTTAGGTATAAATTTAACAAAATATGTGCCATCTGTATGATGCAAACTACAAACATTGAAAAATCAATCAAGAAAGATGTAAATAAATGGGGAGAGATACGATATTCTTGAATCGGGAGGCTCAACATTGTTAATATGGCAGTTCTCCCTAAATTGATGTATAGATTCAACACAATCTGAATCAAAACAAGGCACTTTAAAAATAGAGATATCAAGAAACTCATTCTAAAATTTATATAGAAAGGCATAAGAAGTAGAATAACAAACAATTTTGGAAAAGAACAAAGCTGGAGGACTCATTACCGAATTTCAAGACTTACTCTAATGCAGCAGTAATCAAGACAATATAATATTACTGAAGGCCATTATGGCAACCTTATTCACAATTACCAAAAACTGGAACCAAGCAAGATGTCCTTCAACAAGTGAATGGTTAAACAAACACTGGTACAGCCATACAATGGACTACTATTAAGCAATAAAATTGAAGTACTGATTCATGTATCAACATGGATGAATCTCAAATGCATTTTGCTAAATAAGGAATTCTTTTAAGACCTAAGAAAGATCGAGCTCAACAACACTGAGAATCAAATCGAAAACCTTACAATGTTTGGCTACTGCTGTTAGAGTATAAACTCCATGGATCCAGGGATTTTGTTCTGTTTGTTCATATATATTTGTTTTCTGAAGAAAGTAGATATTAATACTTTTGACTTACAGATGAGGAAACAACTCATAAAGGTTAAGCTACTTGTTAAAATAGAAAACAGAACTTGAACACAGGTCCTTCTAATTCCTACTATACTGCTTCTCTCTGCATTTCTTGTCAATGCCTTTGGCTTAGTATAGTTTCAAAACTAGTCTATGGTTCTCAACTTTGACCTACATATTAATAATCATCTGGGGAACTCTAAAAATTCTCAGGCCCATCTCTTTCCCCATGAGACAAGTTGAAGTCACTTCCCCAGGTGATTCTGATGCACAGTGACCACTGAAAATTACTGTAGGAAGTGATCAATAAGTGCTTGTTGAATGAGTGAATGAAAGGAGCTGATAGCTTAATATATCATTTGCCCACCTGCTTTTTCTGCTGTAGTATATTCACTTCCTGGCTTTTATTCTTCTGCCCTTATTTTCTTCCCTTACGTTATTCCTTGAAAGTTCTTTTAGGTTCTCTTCTTTTTTAATCATCCTCTCCTTTTCTGTAGGTATTATTACAGTAACACTGAGTATTTCTTTGAACTTTCTGGTGTCTTCTTCCTAGAGACTCATCTCTCTGATTTCAACTTGGGGTGGGGTTGGACCTACTGGTTGCATGAACTTTCTACTTGTTTCTATATGATGGAAGTTTAGTTGTAGATTTAAGATTGTTATGCTTATCAATAGTGCAGATAATTGCAGAAAGGTAAATTGACTATATGTATGAGAGTGTATAAGGAGCCCTGGAGGTGCAGAAGTTAAGCGCTTGGCTGCTAACTGAAAGGTAAGTGGTTCAAACTTACCAGCTGCTTCGCAGGAGAAAGATGTTGCAGTCTGCTTCCATAAAGATTACAGCCTTGGAAACCCTATGTAGCAGTTCTTCTCTGTCCTGTAGGGCCACTCTGAGTTGGAATCTGCTTGACAGCAATGGTGTGTGTGTGTGTGTGTGTGTGTGTGTGCATGTGTGTATCTTTCTATATACATGTGATATGTAACATTGAGTTTCTTCTAGTTAAATGAAGAATGGGAGCCAGTTGTATCATTTGGGTTGACAACTGCAATTCAATAGTATGACTAAAACTTTTGTGAAAACATAAATTTAGGAGTTGATCACTTATAGCTGAAGAAGTTCATCTTCTATAAAATATTTTTGGGAGTATGTTAATTAAGTGCATTTCAGTTTTTGTTGCAGATTATTAACCTAGGAATGGGGAAGTTGGGAGACAAAGATTTAAAGCTAGAATTGTAGAGCCCTTCACAATTAAAAGTTAATCAGGAATTAAGTAATTTCTGGAGTCCATTGGCAGCTACGATTTTCTTTTTTTTCCTTCATAAAATATTTATCAAGTGGCGTGGAAACCCTGGTGGCATAGTGGTTAAGTGCTACGGCTGCTAATCAAAAGGTTGGCAGTTCGAATCCACCAGGTGTTCCCTGGAAACTGTGGGACAGTTCTACTCTGTCCTGTAGGGTCGCTATGAGTTGCAGTCGACTCAAGGGCAGTGGGTTAATGGGTGGGTGCTTGACTACTCAAATGTTATTAAGGATCGCCCAAGTTTTCCTGTAAAGACTTAGAGGCACAAAATGAGCTGTTTTGCCCGTTTCATAATCCATCACTTGCCTCATAAAGTTCTATCCATAGAATTATCTTGGAGTTGGAGAAATGTTAAGCATTTTGATTCAAATAAGGAACAGTCACTTCAATTAATACTAGCTGCGGCTATGAAAAAGTGAAAGGACACATCTGGCCAGTTTCTCTGCAGGACTTGTGAGAATACATCGGAAGGGAATGAAGCTATGACTGTTCTACGTCATGCACTTCCTGGGGACTTGCAGGCTTATTGAACTCTTTTAAAAATGAAACAGTATTGAAGATAACAGAGCCACAAAAAGATTTCTAGGTGCCATTATGCTTTTCAACATGACTAACAGTAACAATACGCGTTTAGACTGTTGATTTTTTTAAAGTGTCTTGTTACTTTAAATAAGTGTCCTAAGATATCATTGCTTTCTTAGATATTTCTTTTTTTCACATCTTGACTATGAATTATTGTTCTAATGGAACATATTGCTAAAGTAATAATGTAAACCAAATAGAAGTGTTATTTATTAATATAACCTAAAATTCTGAAAGTGTTATAATTTAAGCTGTAATCTATTAGGGAAGATAAGACCAAAAGAACTGGAAGTTTTCATATTCTTAGGAAAGACCCTTCAGAAACCACATCATATCCTTTATTTTTTGTTATAGATAAAATATACAGTAAACTGAGTGGAGTTTTATTGAGGATAATAAACACTTAAAATATTTAAAGCAGTACAACAAAACAGAAGCTGCTTCACTGAGAATAAGCACATGATGGTACCTAGATTTTGTGAAAAACAAAGAATAAAATAAAATCCAGGCTGTCCCTGAAAACTCCCAGAGGTAGCTGTAGTATCAAGTGTTAAGTGTAGAGTGTTAGTCAGGTTGGCTATATCTCAAAATACTAACAGTGGTTATCTTCCAATAAAGAAATTGTGGGGTTTTTGTCCGTTTACTCATATTTTCAAAAATTTCTACTGTGCATATGCATTTATGTTTAAAATTAAAAGACAATAACAATGAAAACCCTTAAAAGATTCAAATGGTGACCACATTAAGTATATGTGTAGGTCAGAAAATGTACTACCTTAGTAAGTAGGTAGTTAATACCTATCTCTGAAGTAGCCTTTGCAAATGTCTTACCCTGCTTGCTCACCTGCAGGTCCAACTCAGATGTAACCAACTGGCTGGAGGGATCCAGGAGGTTTTTTTTTATAACAATGGTGTCTGCACAGTTGAAATCACTCTAGGAACTTAAATACCAATGCCTTGGTTCCACCTCTAGAGATTCTGATTTAATTGTTCTGGGATATAGCTTCAGCACCAAGACTTTTTGAAGTTCCCCGGGTTATCACAATGTACAGCCAAGGTTGAGAGCCTTGTTTTATAAGCAACTTAAGGAAACAAGTCATTTGTTTTTTGGTCCTTTAATTTGTATCCTCTTAAAACTGTTACTGTCCTGTGCAAAGTTTGTGTTGGACATTATACATATTATTTCCCTATGTATAATGTTCAGCATATGCTTTTTTTTAAGCTATGTTTTTATGTCCAGCCTGCCACTGCATTAACTGGGTGACATGATAGACTACCTTTTTCTCTCTCCACTCTATCTTCTAAACTGTGGCGATAGTTAATTTTCTAAAGCATAAAATAATTATATCACTACCCTGTGTAAAAAACCTTTAACTATCTGTTCTTTAAAGGCTAAAGTATAAGTTCCTTGGACCTCCATAGTCTGGCCTCTACATATTTTCAGTTTTATCTCCTGCTCTTCCAACACTAGAAACTCCAGCCCTACTCACTATTGCTTGAATAGGCCATTAGTTTTCATACCTGCCTTTGCACATGCTTTTTTGTTTGTCAGTGATTGTGATCGTGGTTCAACAGCAGATTCAGAAACAACATACATTGGCATTGAATTAAATTAGCATTTATTGAGCACATTAGCCAAGGACTGTGTTAGGTACTTTAAACTAGCTCTTGTAATCCTCACAGCCATCCCTAAGATAATGGTCATTCTCCTCACTGTATAGATAGGCACCTGAGGCTTTCATAGGGTAAATGGGTTACTCAAAATTACACAGCAAATGTAAGGCAAAGATGAGATTTCAAATTCAAAATCCCGTGTTTGTACCCATGTCTTCTTCCCCCACCCACCATCACGTTGCTTCAGCAGTAAATGCCCATGTGATCATTATCATATTCTCTTTCCAAACACGGTATGCGTAAACATTTGTTGATTTTTCAGTCTTGTTTCGAATTCTCTATAGTACAAGGAAATAAACTGAACGGTCTTAAGAGAGAGGAGTCCCTGGGTGGTGCAAATGGTTAAGCCCCAGACTACTGACCAAAGGGTGGGCGGGTCAGACCCACACAGAGGCACCTCAGAAGTAAGGCTTGGCAATCTGCTTCCAAAAGGTCACAGCCTTGAAAACCTATGGAGCAGTTTTACTCTGCACATGTGAGGTCGCCATGAGTCAGAATCAACTCAGTGACAGACAACAACTGCAAAAGTAGAATAATCACTGTCCATCGTTCTCTATATAATCAGTTGTGTTAAATAGTTTGCTGTGACTGTTTATTACTGAGTTGTGTAGTCATATTTTTACATTTTATAAGTACTGAACATTTTCACTTTACTATAATTTAACACTTATTCTGCAGTTATTTGAGCAAAATGCCCTACGTTGTTCACCATCCCACAAATTATCTGGCTTGAATAAGATATATATATATAAATTTAAATGTATTCAACCGTAAAAGTCAGGCAAGCTCATCTCCTACCCATATAAAGAGGAAAACTGAAAAGCTTATATATGTAGATAACTTTTATAGTGCAAAGTGAAGCTTGTGTAACTACCTCTGTGTGGGAAAATGTTATAGTTTAACAAGAAGTTAACGTGGGTAATGTTAAAAATTTGAGACTTTCTGGCTATTAAGGTAAATTTGGTAAAATGTAATATAGTGTATTCCCTTACATACACTTTCCAGATTGTGTTAATATTCTAATTTTGATATTGTTTCTTTGAGGATACTGCTTTATAATTTTTGTTTTATAATCTAATATGAATATTTTTTTTCCTCCATTAGAATGTGAAACATGTTGCAGAAGTATTCATGAAGTGGCTGAAGAGGGAGGGCAAAAAGTGCCACTGCCTATCAGAAAACAAAACAAAACATGGGAAATACAACCACCAAATTCCGTAAAGCACTCATCAATGGTGATGAAAACCTGGCCTGCCAAATATATGAAAACAACCCTCAGCTAAAAGAATCCCTTGATCCAAACACATCTTATGGGGAGCCCTACCAGCACAATACACCATTACATTATGCTGCTAGACATGGAATGAATAGGATATTAGGGTAAGTATTACTGTATTCCAGTTGATAACCAATTGGTGAAAGGTAAAAAGTATTATCTCTGAAAATATATAGTTACATATGTGCATGTTGTGTGGTATTATGGTGAATTAAACTCTCTGAAACTGTATGTGCCTGAATTATTTAGTATGATTTTTAAATTAGACCTAAATTAGACCAGAAGTTTTAATAGTAAGGTTGGTTCACGTATTCTTGTTGCTGTAAATATGTTTTGGTCCTCATTGTATATATTTTTGATAATAGTATAATATTTCATTTACAGCATTTTGATTCTAGAAGAGTACCTGTCAACAAACAAACTATTACAAGGAATGATGTCTGAGGCAAAGTTCTAAGCTATGATTAGCTAGTTTAAGTTGAGTTTGCCTTGTCTAGTCATGATCAGATTTTAGTTTCCTTTTATCTAATGGGGTTCAGTTACTTGAAAACCCTTTTCTAAAGGCAGAACATTTCCTCAACACTTTCAATAACTAAGAATCTTTACACACACACAGACACACACACACAAATCTTCAATAAGAACACATTAGAGTGACATAGCAAATATATGAAGATTCTTAGCCTAAGACATTGGGAATTTGATCGCCATGAAACAAAAGCAAAGGATAGAAACATAGTTCCAAAACAAGTGTAATTGTTTTAGAAGTAGTTTATGCAGCTGTGGAAGTCTGATGCTAGAAAGGAAAGAAACACTTCTTTGCTTACCCAGTGAAGTCTGAATTCTTAAACTAGTCTTCAAGGCTCTTTAGAACCTGACAAAGATCTTAACTTTCAACATTGTTTCTATTTCTTCTGTATACAAATTGTCATTTGAGTTAAGCTACTCGTTTTGGTGTCCTCCGAAACATGCCATGTGTATTCTGTCTGCCACGTCTGTTCTGTGTGCCACATCCATGCTGCTCTCTCTGCAGGAGCATTTCTTCTTCCTCCTCCTCTCAGCTTTCTCTGACTTAACTTAAACCTTGCCCTTCGTTCAGGCTTCTGTCATGCTTCACCTGTCTTGAACTGTCACAACCCATCAGAACCTCAATCTCTTTTTGAACATCTGTGGCTCTTTTTGGATTATTTGTTTGTATCACTTGTTTGGTATACACTATCTCTTTGTATATATACCTTTGTGTTTTTTCTGTCTGTCTACATAATTATAACTTTTTTAGAGTACTTTTCTGTATACTTCTGGCTTCTAGTAAGGTATCTTGCATAAAATAGATAGAAGTTTTATAAAATCATTACCCAAGGAAATATTTTCATGATTAGAACTTGTGAATGAGAAAAATTAGATAAATAATTTAGCTCGTCTGGGCCTATGACTTTAACAAGTATATTTCGAATTAGAAATAGGTATTTCTGCCCTTTGCCTGTCATTTTTGCATTTATCTTTTATTTTTAGTTACCTAAAAATACCTATCTAAAAGCTACCTCCAACGGAGCTTGTTTGAAATTTTGTATTTTTCCTCCCCAAACTGGGTCCTCCCTATGTTATTGACACCAACGTACTGTGCTGATAAGACACTGTCAAACATTTATTGAGGGCTTAGTAATTTCCAGGCCCTATTAACAATAGTGTATGTGAGTTATCGTCTTTAATCCTCATTACAATTTTATTAGTAGTTTGTTATTATTTGTATTTTAGAGGTGAGGAAACTGAAGCACAGAAACGTTAAGTAACTTGTCAGAACTCTTGCAGCTAATAAGTTGCAAAGCTGGTTGCCCAGGAAGATGTACCTGAGGCTTTAGGTTCTTAACCACTATGCTGTGCAGCCTCTTTTTTCTCTACAATCAGATAAGCCTAAAGTTTGAGGGCTGCCTCAGCTACTTACTAGCAAAGCAAGTTACTTAGTCACTCTGGACTTCAGTTTTCTTATCTGTAAAATAGATATATATCTCACAGAGCTTGTGGGACAGTTAAATTAGTTAATATGTATAATGTGTCTTGAATGCTGCCTAGCATACAATATGCACTCAATAAATGTCTATTGCTTTTCACCACTGTAACTCTATAAATATCTTCAAATCATTGTTGGCTTACTGTTCTCCTTTACCTAACGTACTGCTAATACTAAGTTCTCTAAGTCCTACCGCTTGGATTCATTTCTTTCATTCCCATTGCCCCAAGCTAAGTTCATGCTTAACAATCTTTGCTCTCAATACTTAAAATATCTGGCTCCTACATGGTGTTTTTGTAAATCTTTTTCTCTTATAATCGCAGATCCAGATTAATCTTCCTATAGTGAGCTTTTTCAATGGTACTTCTATCATTATCTGAGCCTTCAGTGAGTTGTAATCTTTTTGCTGGTAGAGGGTCTTGCCTTGATGTTGATGGCTGCTGACTGATGGGCGTGGTGGTTGCTGAAGGTTGAAGTGGCTGTGGAAATTTCTTAAAAGAAGACAGCAGTGAACTTAGCCACATCGATTGACTCTTCCTTTCACAAAAGATTTCTCTGTAGCATATGATGCTGTTTGATAACATTTTACTCAAAGTAGAACTTCTTTCAAAATTAGAGTCAATCCTCTCAAACTCTGCCACTGCTTTATCAACTAAGTTTATGCAATATTCTAAAATTCTTTGGTTATCATTTCAACATCGTTTATAGCATCTTCACCAGGGGTAGATTCCATCTCAAAAAACCGGTTTCTCTGCTCATCCATGAAAATGTAACTCCTCAGCCATTAAAGTTGTATCATGAGATTGCAGCAATTCAGTCACATCTTCAGGCTCTACTTCTAATTCTAGTTCACCACCACATCTGCAGTTCCTTCCTCCACTGAAGTCTTGAACCCCTCAAAGTCGTCCATGAGGGTAGGAATCAGCTTCTTCCAAACTCCTCTTGATATATGATTTCCTCCCAAGAATTAGGGGGAGCTCAGAATGTTCTTAATGGCACCTAGAAGGGTGAATCCTTTCCAGAAGGTTTTCAATTTACTTCGCCCAGATCCGTCAGAGGAATCACTACCTATGGCAGCTATAGCCTTATAAATGTATTTCTTAAATAATAAGACTTGAAAGTCAAAATTACTCCTTGATCCACAGGCTGCAGGATGGATGTTGGATTAGCAGGCATGAAAACAATATTAATCTTCTTGTACATCTCAATCAGAGCTCTTGGGTGACCAGGTGCATTGTCAATGAACAGTAATATTTTGAAAGGAATCTTTTTTTCTGAGCAGTAGGTCTCAACACTGGGCTTAAAATATTCAGTAAACCATGTTGTAAACAGATGTGCTGTCATCCAGGCTTTGTTATTCCACTTATAGATCACAGGCAGAGTAGATTTAGCATAACTCTTAAGGGCCCTAGGATTTTCAGAATGGTAAATAAGCATTGGCTTCAACTTAAAGTCACCAGCTATATTAGCCCCTAACAAGAGTCAGCCTGTCTTTTGAAGCTTGAAGCCAGGCATTGACTTCTCTCTAGCTATGAAACTTCTACATGGCATCTTCTTCCAATATAAGGCTGTTTGTCTGCATTGAAAATCTGTTGTTTAGTGTAGCCACCTTCATCAGTTATCTTAGCTAGATCTTCTAAATAACTGGCTGTGGCTTCTACATCAGCACTTGCTGCTTCACCTTGCACTTTTGTGTTATGGAGACAGCTTCTTTCCTTAAACCTCATGAGCCAACCTCTGCTAGTTTCAAACTTTTCTTCTGCAGCTTCCTCATCTCTCTCAGCCTTCAAAGAATTGCAGAGAGTTAGAGCCTTACTCTAGATTAGGTTTTGGCTTAACGGGATGTTGTGGCTGGTTTGATCTTCTGTCCAGACCACTAAAACTTTGTGCATATCAGCAATGAGGCTGTTTCAGTTTCTTACCATTTGTGTGTTCACTGGAGTAGCACTTTTAATTTCCTTCAAGAACTTTTCCTTTTCATTGTCAACTTGGCTGTCTGGTGCAAAACGCCTAGTTTTGGCCTGTCTCAGCTTTCCACCTTCCTCACTAAGCTTAATCATTTCTAGCTTTTGACTTAAAGTGAGACACATGTGACTCTTCCTTTCACTTGAACATTCAGAGGCCGTTGTAGAGTTATTAATTGTCCAAATTTCAATATTGTCCTGTCTCTGGGAAGAGGGAGGCCTGAGGAGAGGGAGTGAGATGGGGAACGGCCAGTTGGTGGAGCAATTAGAACACACACAGTATTTTTCGATTAAGGTGTCCATCTTCTTGGGCGCAGTTCATGGATCCCCAGAACAATTACAGTAGTAACATCAAAGGTCACTGATCACAGATCACCATAACAGATAACAATAATAATGAAGACGTTTGAAATATCGTGAGAATTACCAAAATGTGACACAGAGACACGAAGTGAGCACATGCTGTTTAAAACATGGCACCAATAGATTTGCTCGATGCAGGGTTGCCACAGACCTTCCATTTGTAAAAAAATGCAGTATCTGCAAAGTGCAATAAAGAGAAGCACAATAAAATGAGCTATGCCTGTACTCTAAACTGAAGTATTGTCTCTTCTCTGAGATTGCTACAACCTACATTTTAAAAACCATACCATCATTATTAAACTATGTTTATATTAGTCTTATATCCTCTGCTAGATTATAAGTATCATAAATACAGAGGTGGATGCATAGTAATGTTCTCAATAGATTAATTATTGATTGCTTAATCTCTTAAGGCTTTCTAACATGGCCTTTTTGTTCCACTTTTTTAAAAATTGACCATTTTCAGTGAAATTCCAAAACGGTTGTTTAGCTTCCTAATATTGAGCACTCCAATAATATTTATTATCAAGTCTTATTTTATAATTAACTAAAACTTTGCTTGGAATATCAAAGTAAAATATGTTTAAATACCATTACCAAGGTAATGTATGTATTTTAAGGAGCCCTGGTCATGCAGTGGTTAAGCGCTTGGCTGCTAACTAAAAGGTCTGCGTTTGAACTCACCAGCATCTCCACGGGAGAAAAGACCTGGTGATATGCTCCCATAAAGATTACGGCCTAGGAAACTCTATGGGGCAGTTCTACTCTG